TTTTAGTTCTTTTCTCCTACGGCTGGAATCAGAATAAGAAACAATAGAAAACATAAACAATAACGATGTCACCCAGTGAATTGAGCTTTTCAGTGTCGCTGAACTATTTTTGCAACAAATTTGCTTAGTCTTCCCAGTCGAAATATATAATGTATGAGGAGATCCAAGCTAAAGATATCCTTTTATTCAGAAGGACATCTTTAGCTTGGATCTCGCTTGCTAAAACTTGCCTAGAAAACATGGTTGTAAAACATAAACGCGGGATTGTGAATAAAAAAAGAGTCAAATAAGATTTATCTACAGAGCATCAGTAACACTGAGATTCCAAGTCAAATATTATTGAGACGTAAAACACTTGAGAAGTGAGCAAAGTTGGCGTGGTAAGTAGCAATGAAACCAATAGGATTCGGAGATCACTTGAACAAACTATGCTAAACCTCAAGGCAATGATTTGTAACTGAGACTGATGTTAATAGATGCAACTGAAATTTGGAGCAGAGATATTGAAAGCGATGACGAAAGAGTATGAAGTCCAGATTGTTTTCAGGACACTGGGCTTGTAAAAGACTTTCGAAATTCCTTATAGGCATTCCCGTGTCTCGCGATTCCTTAGCTTTGTGACATCGTTGACGACTACTATGGTTCAATCGAGGAGATCATCTCTTATAATGGAAATCAATCACTGTGTACAAACATTGGGCGATTAAGAGAAGACAAGCCATTTAGGGCTGCGCACTTAATCGCCGTCGCCGCTGGTCCAGTACAGCCTTAGGACAAAGTATCTTCTTAAATGCTGTTCGAAATTCTATGTTGAGTATTCCATAAAGAAAGGGATTGAGAGACGAGTTGATGTATCCCAGCCACGTAAATGCTTGGTTCACCTTAAGAAAGAGAGTTGTGACTTGGAACGTTTTGCAAATGTTTTGGTATCAACTTACCTTTGGATGCAGCGAGCACGTCTCGCAAAATGGAAGTATAACGTAGGCGCAGAAAAATGGTAGCCAGCAGAATGAGAATATAAAAATTATGACAGCAATCGTCTTTGCTGCTCGTTTCTCTTTCGCAACGCTGATTTTCTCTCGTTTCCGAAGTACAGTCGTCGGATTCTGTAACATCCAATTTGACTTGCTAAGTTATGAGCCTTTCTACCGGCATAATTGCACCGTCAGAACTCTATGTTGACCTTCTTTTTCAGACAGAGAATGGTAATTCAGTAAATCTGGCTTTTCCAGATGTATTGCATATAACCTCTATCGATGTACTAATTTTGGTTGTTCGCTGGCAAACAACCAGGAAAA